TGTTGTCCTCTTTTTTGGAGGGGCTCTATTTGACCTAAAAAGTACATTTAGTTATCATCAAAGAGATGTTTAATTTTCAGTAACATTTTAGACTAGACCTCCAGCATACATACATACCCATGCACACTCTGCTTTCATTAATTCATCAAAACAAGTCGATGTCTCATTAAAGGCTTCTTGAATGTTAATGAATGAATAATTAACTTTAACTATATAATTAGCCTTTAAGTGTGCTGAGACCCCCAGAGAGCATCTGAAAACATGCATAAGAAGATGATGAGCTAAAACCGGAAACTTTTGATTAGGAAATGTCAAGCCTCTTGACAATACAAGTCTCCACATCCAAGGGGACCAGGCCTTGCCTATGGGACGGTGTCTTCCTCTGTGTCCAGGAAATCAGATGTCTCGGGGCCAGGAGTGGACTCTCAAGGCCATTGTGCAGGGTATAAGAGAACCCGACCGACTGAAGTAACGAGGTCAGATCTGCACACTTGAGAATGCTGTAGCAGCTCTTCAGAGCTGTCAAAATACCTGGCAGGAAATCGCTAGGTTAAAGTAGCATGGGGCACATGTGACATCCCTCCTTACTTGGCTTCTTTGCTAATTTACAGAGAGGAGGTCTTGTTTCCCCCTCTCATGCTGAAGTGCTGTCATTTCTAATCAGTCGCGTTCCTCGAGGACTGCCGGTGCCAGAGAGGGTGGCGGCACCCACACAGCCTCTCAGATGCCCGGAGCGGGCAGGGGGCAGGTCACGCAGCCAGGGCAGCACGGCATTCGCTTTGGGCTCCAGTCCTGCTCCAGCCCTCGGGTTGGGAAGTTGAGGTGTCCTCTGATCTGTCACGGACGTTGGAGAGGAGGATGGTGGTTCTGCAGGTAATGGAGGCAGAGAGGTGGCATTGAACCCAGTGCAGGTGGGAGCTCTGTCCCGGTCACAGGTAACGTCTCACGGTTCTCAGACCTTGTCCCTTGAGTCTCCTCCTGCCCAGGGGGAAAAGCACAACCCTGGGACCTGCCAGGAGCACAAAGACGATCTCCTCTTAAAAAGAAGGAAGTGAATGTGCCCGCCCAGCAGAGAAGATTACGTGGGTCCCCTCACCTGTAAGCCTCCACTGTGCTTTTCAACTGGCTGCTCTGAGCTCTGAGGGACCTCCAGTGACATCGTTTGTCTGTGTTGCTCCAAACCGGCGCTGCCAGCCACAAGCTGCAGCCTCACGCACCACTCTGGCTCAGGCAGCTGCAGCTCGACTCCCCCAAACGCTTCTGGTCTGAACTGGGCTTCGGGTTCAGGTGGCCTTTTACTCTTTCCTACCCTTTACCTTCAACAAGCAGCTATGACCATCTATAAGTGAATGTCTCCCAAAGGAACGGGGTGGGATGCGTTGGGGCAAGAGAAGTTTTCTATGGCGGTAACTCCAGCCCCTTCCCATGGTCTGCGTCTGATGGGGAAGCTGAACAACCCCCCAGACCTCATTAAACTCCGGCTGCTGGGTCCCATCCTTGCCTCTTCTTTTGTAACTCTTGGCTTGACTGGTCACTGTAATCCCCAATCTGAATTTCCTGAGTAATAGACAGAGCTGCCTCCACTTAGCCCTCAAGTCTTAGGGATGGCGTGGCTTGGGCATCGTGGGCATGTCCGTGGCCTTTGGTATCAGACTGTGTAGGTCTACATGCTGCTTTTAACACTTCTAGTTAGGGTGATGATGTTGAGTCACTTTAATGGTGCCTCAGTTTCCTCCTCTGACAATGGGGGTAGCAGTAGGATACCCACCCCTGCACAACAAGAAGAGTAAACAAAACAAGATAACACGTACAAAGTATTCAGAACTGGAGTTCTCATGTAGGATGTATAAAGTTTGTGAGCCCCTTTGCTATAAAACCTGAATTCGATTAAATGCATTTATGGGTTTTGAGCAGTTGTTACGTGCCAGGCATTGCACACACACTTTGTGTATACAATGTCGCTTTATTCTCAGTGGCCTTCTGAGGGCAGATGTTGTCAGTTCTGCTTTGCAGAGAGAAAACCCAGGCTCAGAAATGCAGGTGCTTTGGCCAAAGTCCCTGACTGCAAGGCTCACTGTCCAGTGCGTCAACGGTTTGCATTTCTTTTCCTCTTAACAATAGCAACAATTATTCTTTTTCCAATTGAAGACAAATCAAAAGTAGACCTTTTGGGGTCGGAGCAAGAACAAGAAGGGGAACCCAGTGTCCTGCCTGGCTGTGCTGGCCACTACAATAGCCACCAGCCACTTGCGACCACTCACATTAACATCTGAATGAATGACATTAAATAAAATTAAAAACTCAGTCCTGAGTTGCACTAACCGGATTTCAAGTGCTCCGTACCCAAACTAGATGGAACAGACACAGAGAGTTTCCATCATTACAGAAAGTTCTGTTGGACGGCGTGGCCCTAGAAGGTTTTGTAGTAGAGTTTGGAAATATCTCTGGTGAGCTCCCGGCTGCCTTAGGTGAGACTCAGGAAGTCTAACTAAAACCAAGGTTCTCAGCGTCTCCATGGCAACTCAAATTTGTGAAGTACTGACGTAGCAAGCACCTCAGCTTTATTAAGAGGGCAATGCCATCTGTGGCCTGAAGTTCTCAGGATACTTGTGCCTCAACTTCTCTTTTGGTAGTCACGGAAGGTGACCATTGGCTTACAAAATCATAGAGTGCCATAGCTGGACAAATATCGCAGCAAGACCACAGTGGCCACCTCCTCTCACAGATGAGGAACCAGCAATCCAAAAGGAGGAAGGGATTTTCCTGAGGTTGCCCCATCATCTAAGCCTGGACTCGAACTCAGATCCCTTCTACCTGGTTCCTACAGTGCTCCTGGGGCACACCCTATTACTACCTTGCAGAGCTCTTCATCCTGTATTTTTGCGGGTCTCAGTATTGCTGGCTGTCCAGAAATGCTGCTTCCCAGTTGGTTTGTCAGCTCTGGGCTGTCATCACTGTTGACAACGCCCAGCTTTCTTCTGCTGCTTGGACGATCTGATTCCTTTTCAACACTCTCAGAGCTGAGTGCCACACCTCTGATCCACCCAGCCTGGAGATCAAAGCCTCAGAGTCTTTCTGTGGGTGAGACAAGCCCTGCAGTTATGCCCCATCTCAAATTATCACAGAAACAAACAAACAAACAAAATTCAGATGAAGCATGCGGCTGTAAACCTTCCAAATAGTTTTGTTCCTACAGGGAGTCCTGCAGCAGCTGCCTCCGTAAGGATGCGGCATTTCACATCCTCTCTCTTTGCCACTTTTATTTTTCTTTGCTTCACCTGTTTTATGGTTTCTTGTTAAATAAAGGAAGGCAATAAAGTCGAGAGAGCGTCAGGAAGTGGAGTCATCTCCGATTTTGTTTTCCTACCTGTTTCAGAGCTGACACATGCAGCCCTGATTCAGCCTGGTTAAATAACTTTAACATTTGGAAGCAATATGCGTGCTGTTGAAAAGATCACTTGATGCTTGCTTTTTTAGGGGTGCTAACTGGGAGGGTAAATACAGGACTTCCGAGTTGATGGTAAATGTCCCAGATTTTGAACTACGTGGTGATTTCGAGGATATAGAGGCACCTAAAAATTTATCGAGCGCTTTATTGCCTATACGTTATACCTCAATAAAAATAAACATATCAAAAAAATAAAGAATTTAGAAGTGCTACGTTTATTGTTATGAAAATACATTCACTATGAGTGAAATGACAGAAGAAAACAATCTGTGAAACAGTTCGTATGGTACGGTCAGATTTTCAGGGTTAAAACAAGGGTCGGAAAAACTACAGCCCGGGGACCGATCTGTTTTTGTAAATAACGTTTTATTGGGACAGAGCAGAGTCCATTTGTTTTCACGCTGTCTGTGGCTGCTTTGGTGCTACGTATTAGTTTCCCAGGGCTGCCATAACGAAGTGGTGCAAACCGAGTCACGGTTCTGGAGGCTGGAAGTCCAAGAGCAAGGTGTCGGCAGGGCCACACTCCCACTGAAGTCCCTAGGGAGAGATCCAGGCCTCTCTCCTGGCTTCTGCTAGTTCCTGGGCTTGTGGCAGCTAATCCATTCTGTATGTGGCGTTCTCCTTCTGTGTATGTAGATGTCCAAATTTTGCCTTTTTGTAAGGACGCCAGTCACAGTGGATCAGGGATTCACCCTCTACTTTAGTACAACCTCATCTTAACTATATTACATCTGTGATGACCGTATCTCCAAATAAGGTCACATGCCCAGGTATTGGGGGTTAATATTTCAACATATGAATTTGGGAGGTGGGTACAGTTCAGCCCCCGACACCCTACGACAGCAGAGTTGAGTAGTTGCAACAGAGACCGTGTAGCCCACAAAGCCTAGATTACTTTTATTACCTTGTCTTCACATAAAAAGTTTGCCAACCTCTGTGTGTGTATGTGTGTATGTGTGTGTGTGCATAAACAAAAAACATTTGCAAGGTTGTTCACCAATATGTTAACTGAGGTTGCTTCTGAATTATGGATAATTTTAATTGCATTTTAATACTGTATTATTTGGGTTTTAAGAAATGATGGTGCAATCATTTTTGGTTTATAAATAAACAGTGCGTGTATTTATTTTGGGAAAAAAAAGACATTGTTCTTATGTAGTCCCTCTCCCTTTCCTGTGCACTGCCACCAAACTCTCCTGTCCCCTAATGGTTTATTTTGTTCTGATGCAAACCTGTCTAAATAGGCCACCGTTCCCCACTGTTGGGAGTGTTAAGGACAAACACTTAGCAAACCAGCAAACTCGACTGTTTACTCACTTGGGTAGATGGATTCTTCGTGTCCTTATTTAGCTGCCTCTTGTACGTTGGAGAGAAAAGGTTCTGGCTTTTATCTCCTCATTAAAAATAGATCCTTTTATGACGAAAGGATGGAGCGGCCATGAGTCATCATCCTCAGCATGAAAGAAAGTTTGCGATGCTGGATCAGGCCTCAGGAGGACCGTGCGATGGTACCCAGCCACCCCCGTGACTCCCTGGTTTCTTGTCATTTCAGGAAGCTCGACGCTTTCATCTATGATGCGGCGGTCTTGAATTACAAGGCCGGGAGGGACGAAGGCTGCAAGCTGGTGACCATCGGGAGCGGGTACATCTTTGCCACAACCGGTTATGGAATTGCCCTCCAGAAGGGGTCTCCTTGGAAGAGGCCGATTGACCTGGCCCTGCTTCAGTTTGTGGGTGACGGTAAGACCCCGGGTGACCCCTTCCCATGGTGGGGAACTGGGGACCCTCACACTCTCTCTGTTTTCTAAGGGGCTGTCCAGTGGATGTCTGTACAACGAGTTTACTCACTGATGGTATTTACTGCGTGCCTGTCACTTGCTACCAGGGTTCTTCAGGTTGCTCTAATGGAAAGCAACGCTAGATAACTACATTTTAAAAAGGTATCCTAAGGACACAGAAGCATCATGTCCTCAGTTGCTCAGCGAATTGAGGAACGAGTTAAATAGGTTCAGAGACAGACGATCAGCAGGACAGTCCCGGTGCCTTGATGGCGGGGATTTGGGCAGACATCATACGGTGCCCAGGACAGCCCCTACACCGGGAAACACATCATTGCCCAACCCCAAGTGTCGCTAGGCTGGAGCTGAGGGACCCTGCTCTAGAGCATGCATAAGTAGGCCACACTACGTCCTAGTCTCTGTTCTCTACGTGCTAGATTTCAAACTCCGGAGAAAAGATTCCTGATGTATTTGGGATCAAAGACTCTTTTCTGGACCCATCAGAAGTGACTAGGTGTAGGGTCACGTTGCACTAACGTTGAGTGGCTCCTGGCATTATCCCAATGAGGAATGGAGGGAAGGCAATCACTAGAAAACAGGGAGAATCCCATGGGATTTCACTATAGTTCATCCCTTAACTGCAAAAATTTTTACAGTTTTCACCCTCATGGGGCTTACAGTCCAGTGAAATCATGGCATTTGTGGAACTGTGCAGCCAGCTGAGCCAACGGTGTCCCCAGAAGCGTTTCCTTCTGTCTCCCTTCCTACTTCACACTGGCGATCTCACTGCAGCCTGGACATGGCACCAACCTGCCATTTCCAAATAGGAAAAGCAAAGTCAGCACAGATTAGCGGGTTAACACTGCAAACGTTCTCCGTGTGAGTAGGACACAAAAGCTCAGGGCATAGGTCAGAAGCTCCATTCAAGAACAGGTGAAGGCTATATTCAGAGACGGTGAGAGAATATACTACGCTTGTCCACAGTCGGGAGAGGAAATTCCAGCAGCCACTATAGTCAAATGCAATACCCAGATAAGCAGAGGTTAGTGCATAAGGTTGGTGTGAACTTGAACATGGTGTGTAATTCCTCGCAGCTTCTTCTCTTCTCCCAACTCCCAGAATTAAACCCTAGATTCCCACAGTGCCGTCAAGCATTTTAAACGTGTTTTATATTTAACTTTCAAATCAGAACATCTGATTCTTTGAATTCCCCATAGGGCATTTGTACCTTCCTCAGGTCACTGGCCATGTTCTCTGCTGTGTAATAATGATTTGTGGCTATGTTGGTCAGCGTTTGCTGTGGAATCTTAGAGGCATGCAACAATAACCATTTGCTTTGCTCGTGGGAGTGCAGGCTGAGCGGAGGAGCTCTGACTCAGGCTGGGGCGTGTATGGTGGCTCTACTTTCTGCTGCAAGCCCAAAGGCCAACAGTGTGGTCTCTGCTCCACGAATGTTTATTCTGGGTCTCAAGCTGAAGGGGCACCAGTCACATAGGGCAGCCCTTGTCCTGGCTATGTCAGAAGCACAGAAAAGAGCACCTAACTGCACGTGCACATTCCAGATCTCTGCTTTGTCACGTCCCTGTCTGCTAACACCCTCCTGTCTAAAGCAAGTCAGATGGCCTTGTCCATGGTCAAGGTATTGAAAGTACATGCTACCATTTATGAGAGGAGTTTTGAAGTTTTATGGCAAGAAGTGTGGACACTGAAGACTTGGGGCCAATTGCTCTGTCTATCACAGGGGTGCTTAAGCACCCTACATAGGTGAACTACTCAGCACGCAGGTGTCTTGTTTCCAGCATTTACCAAAAACCCCCGAACATAACAGGTAATTGGTCAAGGAAGGATTGAATGAATAAATACATGTATAGATGAATGGTTGGTGTTGGGATGTATTTCATTTGACAGGATGTGGTGGTATCTGTCCGTCTGGTATATGTGAGGGGTATCTGTCAATTAAGCAAGTTCTGAGTCTAGCTCTACTCACCATTGTCATTACTCTCGCAACATCTATTATGAAACAGCTAACATATTTAGGGACTAGGATATGTCAGTTGTACTGGATGCATCACATGTGTTCTTTAATTTCATCTTCATAGCAGCATTATGAGGTTACATATTGCTTATCCCCATTTTACAGATGAGAGTCAAACTCTTGTTTAATTTAATTCTCCGAGATGTCTATCAAAGGTGACTAATTAAACTCTTGAGTTGTATAAACCCTTTAGGAAGGAATAATTTAGTGCATATCCAAACTAAATCTATTGTCCCATTTACAAATACTTCTGTGAAAGTATTTATCTTTCTCAGCCTCGGTTTACTCATCTGCTAAAGGGCACAGAAATATTTACCTACCAGGGTTGGTGTGAAGACAAAATGGGAGAATACATTGTGAAGCAGGTAGCTTAGCACAGCCTCTGGAACGTAGAAATGGTTCAATAAATGTTAGCTGTCACCATCATTATCAGCATTATCATTACCACCACCATTACCATTTTCCTCCTCCTCATCATCATCTCAATAATCATCATCACTATGATAATTGTCAACACCATCATTCTCATTACCATAGCCATCACCTCCGCCATCACTGTCATCATCATCATCATCACCATCATCCTCATCCTCATCATCACCATTATCATCACCGTCATCCTCATCCTCATCATCACCATTGCCATCACCACTGTCATCATCACCATCATCCTTATCCTCATCATCACCATTACCATCACCATTGTCATCATCACCATCATCCTCATCATCACCATTACTATCACCACTATCATCATCACCATCATTCTCATCATCACCATTACCATCACCACTGTCATCATCACCATCATCCTCATCATCACCATTACCATCACCACTATCATCATCACCATCATCCTCATCCTCATCATCACCATTACCATCACCACCATCATCATCACCACCATCATCTCAATATCACTATCATCACTATCATCACCATCACCATCATCATCACCATCATCATCCTCATTATCATGAAATATCATCACTATGATAATCGTCAACATCATCATTCTCGTTACCATAGCCATCACCTCTATCATCATCCTCATCATTCTTCTCATCATTGTCACTGCCATCATCTTCATCCTCATCATGACCATCACCATCATCACTACCATCATCATCATCATCATCATCATGTCAATATCATCATCGCTATCATCACCATCTCCCCCATCATCACCATCACCATCCTTCTCATCGTCGTCATCACGGTCCTCTCCTCCTCATCATCACCATAGCTGTTCGTGCACAACTCTCTTAATCAAACACAACTTCTCTAGTGTTGTTCTGGCAATAATATAATCAAGTCAGTATCATGGAAACCACCTTTGTGGTGCTGGACAGAAAACGTTCTCTTTGTGGCAAATGAAAAATGAAAAGTGTTTGCATCCGGATAGGCCAGAGGTTTGTTTCTTGCACCTGCAGAACACGTAGGTGCGCATCGATATTTCACGTCCAGTCTCCCTGCTGTCCTGGCCAGACTGTGGGGTTGGCAAATGTGTCCTCTCAGCTTCGTCTCTGGAGGCCATCTGGAGGCAACGCCACGGGAGAGAAAAAGACGCTGCTCCAGAGGGCGTCTTAAGATAATCTTCCCGGAAAGCCATGTCCAATTCTGAATGTCTCTCTAGGAGTAAATACATGAATTAACACAGCTGCATAAATATTTCACTTATCTTATGCAGCTTCGGCAGGATTAATTATGCTCTAAAATTAGACCTGTGAAGAGCACAGCGCCGAGCGGTGCCTAATTATTATTCATCCTCTAGAATGGAGTGTTTATCTCTTGTTATAGAGTAGCTTCGGTGGACGATTACGAGTCTAATAAGTGTCAAAAGTATAAAAAATGTTCCTAATGAGCTGTGTAAATATAACCTTTGAGGGGAGCGTTTGATGATCAGGGGAACCTCTTACGTGAAGCCTGCCATGCGTTTCCCTAGGAAAAGGGGCTCCCAATCTGCCTCGAGGGGTGCACGGGCTCCCAGTAACACTTTGGCGTTCTTTCCTCCTCTAATCGTCTGTGTCCGTTCTGAGACGGTGGCGTGCACCGTGGGACCTTTGGCTCTCCGTGGTTTAGTAACAACATGCTCAGGTATTTGTCAGCACTGGTCAGCACGAATACCCAATAGTTCCGTAGAGTCAGATACCTTTATAGGCACTAGTGTTCCAGGAGGGATATCATGGGTCTTTTTCTTCTTCCCTCAAGGAAATTACAGTCCATTTGGTTGACAATATATAAACTTAAAATATCTAATCTTAAAAGGAAAAACACGTTTATAATACCTCACATGCATGAATTTGTATATGCATATATGTAGACATACAAACACACACACACACTACAGTACTATATATATATATAGTTATATATAATATATATAGTATTATAATATTATTTTCTTAGTGTCTGGGTAATTAATAAGAGACGCCAAGAGAAATATGGACCTATATTAGTTTTTTTTTTTGTTATGAAAAAAAGGGACAGAATGAGTCAGAAAGAAAACAAGTGTAGTGAGATTTAGACCAAGAATAGAACGGACCAGAGTTCACAGAAGCCGCGGCCATTTATTCATCCAGCAACCGGCAAGTCTCCGTGGGGTACCAGATTCTTCCCTGGTGCCTAAATGGTGGCACTTGCGTGAGAACATACAGACTGCCTGAGCCTGGGACTTAATGAATGGCATTTCTGGTTTCAAAGTAAAGGTGGACAGGGGATCTTTTAGGTCCCGTCTATCTCATGGATTTTGTGATATTTTTGTATAATTCTGGGATTTGAAGAGGCAGAAGGAAAATTGTAAACGTCAAAACCCTTTCATTATACAAGGGCCTGAAAAAAGATATTGAGGGGACCAAGGTTGTATATTATTCAAAAACAAGTAATGCTGAGGATAGGGGAGGAAATGATTGTTTTTGAGCCCCTAC